CAACTGAGTTTATTTGTTTGTCAAATTTGAAGGTCGAATCAGAGGTTTAACATAAAATGACAGTGGGCCAAGTTTTATACAGATAAAGTTGGTGGAGTCAGGGGGGCCGAACAGAACTACTTCAGTTTTTTGTTCATTTAGTTTTAAGAAATTTTGTGCCATCCAGTCTTTAATTTCTTTGAAGCAGTCGAGTAGTGGTTGCAGGGAGTGTGGGTTAATGCTTTTGAGCAGGGATATATTTGCGTGTCATCCTCAAAGCAGTGAAAGGATAAACCATGCTTCCTTTTAAAAGGCACCCAGCGGCAGCATGTACAGAGAAATAAACAGAGGCGATAAGACTAAGCCCTGAGGTACCCCACAGGTGAGGGCAGCCGAGGGGGAAACGCTAAGATCTAAAAGTATTAGAATTGCACTGTCCCCCTTGTCTACTGCTAAAAACAAATCATTAAGAACTTTTAAAAGGGCTGTTTCAGTGCTATGGTTTTCTCTAAAACCAGATTGGAGTGCTTCAAATATTTGATTATTGTTAAAAACTGAATCATTTGTTGGTAAATGACTTTTTCCAGGATTTTGGATAGAAATGGAACTTTGGAGATTGGTCTAAAATTTGATAAAATGTTGGGATCTAGGGTAGGTTTTTTGACAAGAGGCTGAACCACTGCATGTTGGAAATCGGTCGGGAAGCATACAGTGGAGCGGCATGTTGATGATGGAGAGGATGTTAGGGCCGATAGTGCTAAATGTTTCTTTGAGTAGGGGAGGGGGAATACAATCTGATGGGCATGTTGTGTACATCAAGTTTCTCATAAGAGCCTGAAAAGTGTTCACTCCTTCATTACAAAATAGCTCACTAGCACTAGTCCATCAAGGTTTTTTAAATAGTATTGTCATGGAGTCATTATAAGCAACTTTAAGCTTTTATAAGCTTGCTTTTTTAAACCTGGTCCACAAAGGGTAAGTATAAAGAGGAGTACAACTATGCTCTAGAGATATTTTTGTTGACATTGTCTGAATACATTCCGTGCCATTCCTTAAAATTCCTTGTCAACATATTGGCCTGGGCGTATAATATTTGATACTTCGTCGTCATCATCTGACATTTGATCTGTTGGCCCTAAAAATAGTATTTAGGTACTCACACTCAACACCTGTCCTGACAGGTAAAACTTGGGAAAGTTTAGGTCCTTGTCCCCTATTGTTCTGCTTATCAAAACAGTACTCTTTCTAGCATTGTATTGCACATCAAATGTTACGCCATAATCAGAACATATATTCAGCAGCTGCTGAAACCCAGCTCTGCTACATTAGTGTATGAGTGAATGAAAGCGATGTGTGATCTCTTACAGTGTCACAGGGACGCAGCGGTTCAGTGCCCAGCCGCAGTTTGGGTCTCTAGCTAACACGCAGTCCTCACAGCGGTCTCCATACTGGGCACAGTTTGTCACGTCCACCTGGACCAGTTCACTTCTGGAGGCTGCATACAGCTTCATCTGCAAGGAGAGAGGACAGAGCATTTCTTATAGTACAGCACTTAGTCACCAACACTCCTCACTCCTCCACTCCTCCACTCCTCACTCCTTACTCCTCCACTCCTTACTCCTCCACTCCTCCACTCCTCACTCCTTACTCCTCCACTCCTTACTCCTCCACTCCTCACTCCTCCACTCCTCCACTCCTCCACTCCTCACTCCTCCACTCCTCACTCCTCCACTCCTCCACTCCTCCACTCCTCACTCCTCACTCCTCCACTCCTCCACTCCTCCACTCCTCACTCCTCCTCTCCTCACTCCTCCACTCCTCACTCCTCCACTCCTCCTCTCCTCACTCCTCCACTCCTCACTCCTCACTCCTCCACTCCTCCTCTCCTCACTCCTCCACTCCTCCACTCCTCTCCTCCACTCCTCACTCCTCCTCTCCTCACTCCTCACTCCTCCTCTCCTCACTCCTCACTCCTCCACTCCTCCTCTCCTCACTCCTCACTCCTCCACTCCTCCTCTCCTTACTCCTCCACTCCTCACTCCTCCAGGTGTCTCTGTGGAAATGTGAGTAGGCAGATGTTGTTACTCACAGAGTTCTGGTTTAGGATCATGTTGAGGATGCTGGTGTTGTGTTTAAATGTCTCATACTCTGCGATGACAAACGTCTGATTCTGACTCTGCGTCACTTTATGAATGGCTCCATTATCTGTATGAAGAGAGAATCATTATTTAGTCTGAGCACACTCCACTCCCACTCTCAGAGTCTTGTTTCTTCACCTCTGATGACTCATCCAGAAGGTCGTATCATACTCTAGATTATCTTCTTCAGAACTCACAGTAACCTTAAAGATGAAGAACATGTCTGAACTCTTCCTCCTCATTATTCAGGCTGCAGGACTCTGAAGTCGCCACTGATGATAAAAATCATGATGATCTGGAACGGATTGGTTCGGCCATTTTGGATCACACACGACTGAGCTTACATGGACTTGAGTGAACCGGTTTTAAGTATTCTCTTTCTGTGTTTGTGCATGTAAACTTCATATCCTGATTTGGAGAAACCCGGTTTTGCTACCTGCAGCACTCTAGAGGGAAAAAAACGGGATACTGAGACATGTATACGCCTTAGCCTGGTTTCTAACAGCAGACGACTACTTGCACAGGCACGGCCTCAGACATGTGACGTATCAGCAAAATAGTGCTAAACAGCAAACAAAACAGAGGCTTGTCTTTCCGTAATGAAATAGTTATTAAATATAATTGCTCCCTTGTCCTGTGTGGTGGCAGCGACAGGCTGAACCAGGTTTCTCTGTGTGCAGCTAAACACCAGATCCTGAATATGATCAGAGCCAGGAACATAGACTTGCCCAAGGGCTGCTCAGCAGTGCTCAGGACTTGACCTTCTTCTTCAGCTACCAAACCAAATTTCCAGATTTGGTCGACACCAGGACTTGAACCGACAACCCTCTGTGGTTCTCGACCCAAGTCCCTAGAGACCGAGCTACTGCAGACTCCAATTAGTAAGTTTCCTCACAGCAACGCTCCTCTCTAGCTCCATGTTTATGTATATTTATTTCACACTAAGTAATACAAATACAAGGCACATAAAGAAAACAGGAAACCATGTGGATGGGTGTGGAAAAAGCGTATAAAAGGCCGACCGCAGCTGTGAGGAAAACACTGTCAGGGAGCGGGATGGCATCTTGGCTCCCATTATTCTGACAATGATTAATGTATCTCTAGAAGGCTTTTACCCTAATCCTAACTCTCCCCAAAACAATCAAAAAAAATGTCCAATTTGAGCTTCAAATCTGTCTGAAGATTCAAATCCGGACGAAGCTTTCATTCTTCATCATGATGTGATTTTAACAAACTTAAGACCTACCAAAGGAACCAAGCTGTTCATGTTTCCACCCTGACCTGTTCACACAGGTTTGTACTTCACTGTTCTCACTGATCACTTCCCTGATTGGTATCTACTGAATCACTTACGCAGAGACAGAAACAGGACCGGGTGGCGTTGGTTCCTCTTGTCCACGGAGATGTGAGTGTACCTGTGGCGATCAAAGACGAGTGGGCGCGAGCTGTCGGCAGGTTTAACCCATTCCTCCATCTCCGAGTTCTCCTCGATCGACTTCAGGACGTCTAAACTGATCGCGGTGCTGTCGGGGACGCACTGAGGAGAAACACAGACGAGCTCTGATGGAACAAACACCACATGACTTCAAATAACACATGAACTTTATCATTCATGTGGAGGCAGCGCAATAACATAGAACACCTTGTTCTGGCTCGTAGTTTCTAGCCTTACAATAAACTACAAATACACCAGCCGGTACCAGGGGATACGTTTAAAATTAATTATTACCCATGAAATAAAACAGCAGCTTTAGTTTAAACATCACTTCAGAGAACATGCGTCTCTGTGTTTCTAAGCAAAACGCTGTTTGTGGGCAGCAGATAAACAAAGTAGAAACAAAGCAGCTGTAATCAAATTCCCTCCCCGCGTTCCTCACATTTCTTCTCATGAGGAGTGGAGGGAGGTGAGGTCTGTGACCTTCGTCCACCTCCAGTCCAATCTGTTCATCCTTGAGCCCAGCTGTTGTTCCCTAAACTTCCCAAACTCTTAAGATTTCATGTTTTTTTTTGCTTTGACCTCACGTACCGCTCTGCGCCTGTCGACTTGGCTGCCCGCGCTGCCGCCTTTAAATGGAGAGTTGGTAAAGATGTTTTGAAAGTCCTTCACCCTGTAGACACACACAGCGCTCATCCCCCTGCAGAGAGAGAGACACGGAGGTCAGTTCGTTTTTTACTGACTCATCTGCAACAACAAGGAAGTGCTGGGAGGTCAGAGCAGATCTTAGACGTGCTGGTTAAAAAAAAAACACAGCTGAGCAGACGGGGTCTAAAGTAGGGTTTAAAGAAAGACTGAAAGGGAACCAGAAGTGAAAGAAGTAACTGAGTTATTTTTATTCATCGTTTGTCCTCAAAGCTCAACCGAGATAGATAACCATTGAGTCATTGCTGCCATCATGTTGTTGGGGTATTGAAGAGCTCACACCCGGGCAACAATTATGTTGAGGTTCTATGTAGTCAATTTAGCTATTAAATTAATATTTATAATTATGATTAATAAATTAATGATATCATTTAACAACATTCATTATCTGAATTAATAACAACTGGGCATCACCCTGAAATCAGACTGTTAGGGTTTGGGTTGAGCTGCCCAAAAACATGCAGGATCATGCTTTGGGGTTTCCTGGTTTCATAGTTGACATGATCAACTAGCTCCTTCAATTTTATCTAATTGCATAACTATTAAGGTTGCTAATCTCCTCTAAGAAGAGATGGATCAGACCAGCAGCGGTTTCTTGCAGTGCGGCTTGGTCTGATTCAAAGGGAGTCTTAGGGTGTATTCAGACCTACCTTGTTTAGTTTGCTTGAAACGAACTCAAACCCTGGTGCGGACCTTTTTGTGAATACAAACCATCGAACTTGGGTGCACACCAAACAGCAGAACCAAGACCCAGCCGAAGAGGTGGTCTCAGTTCCCTTCCAAACGAACCCTGGTACGGTTCGTTTGAGATGAGAAAGCAGTCGGACCTCAGTCCGACCCAGTTCTTATAATCATACCCCTTTATGGACGTAACAGGCTCCTGTTGCCATGCGCATCATGGAAAATAATTGTTTGCTCTGGATTCTTTTGGAAGGTCAACCTATAGAGTCAAAATTATCAAAAAGGAACCCAACCCAAACTTAATATTTGTATCACCTACTCCTTTGATATTAACAAAAAAATCATAGAATACAAACTTAAATCTTTTGTAATCCTTGGATAGAGGCTATCCTCTGAGTAATTTACGCCACACAGTGTGTTGCATGAAATAAAAAATGTAGGCATAATTACAACAAAAATATCCCTTTAATTTACCCCTCTATGAATTCAAAATAAAATAAAAGTCAAATAAAAGACAAATGGCTTAATTGCTGTCTCAAACAACAAAGAGCACAAAAGAAATCATTAAACTAACCAACACACAAAACAAACTAAACAACTCCATGTCTCATTTTCTTGGTATGAGTTGTAAATCTTAAAAAAGAGAAACATTTCTTTAGAAGAATTACTTCAGCATCGAAATCTTGATTACTGTGCATAAACAATGCAATAAAGCTGGTTTATTGAGAGCCTCACACACGGACAACAATTATGTTGGGGTTTTATGTAGTCAACTTGGACGTATATGGATAAATATGATTAATAGGTTATTAATATAAATTAACACTATTATTAATCTGAATTAATAATAACGTGGCACCATCCTGAAATCAGGGAATAATAACCAAATAACACAATTTAATTAGTTAAATACCAATATTATTAATATTTTATGAATATCTGTATTTAAATAAATGGAAGGTGATATACCTAGGTGTGAGGTGCTGGGAAAGCATTAACGTCGGAAGAGTGAATTTGTTGGGTTTTGAATCATGCTCTCTATCTCATGCTGGGAATTTGTTTCCCTCTTGAAGTACTAAAAAAGAAGAAACACAAGATACGTGAGTGAATCTTGTGTAAATCAGATAAGAATTGGAATAAAGCAGCTATATTAAAATCAAAGATGAGAGTCTCTTCACTGACAAACAGTGCAGTCGAACAGTTTGCTAACATTGTCTGAAGCTGGCAACACACAAGGTGATTTTCAAATCTTAACTGATTTTAAAAACATGGAGACCACAACACGAGGACCGTTTGGTTGATGTTTCACATATAATCCTCTGAACGCATACATGAGACAACTCAGCCAGATCACACACCTGCTGTTTATAGTAACGATTCCACAGACATGAGATCTCAGAAACTCACGTGATCAAAGATGGCTTCAAAAGATAAACAAATATGGAGGATGATGGAAGTTGTCAGCTGGCTGATCTGCTGTGTGTTTTTGTTTCGCAGCGAAGTACAGAAAAATTAATACGGATTAAATCCTGGCTGATAAAACGGATTATGTGCAGCTTTATACAATTTGCGGCCCAAGCTGAGGGTGAGTACACAACATCCGGACGCTTCCAAGTCTGATGTCTAATTGGCTGATGCGGGTTCTCTATCGGAGGCAGTTGGACCTGGAATCGAAAATATCAAACATGTTTCATATTTATGATTCCATATGATCGAGGAGGCTCTGACTTGATCGGGAGCAGTGAAACAATCGTAGTGACACCAAACACCTGAGGATTATTTGGATAAATAATAGTATACAACAAGCCCTGAATCAGGCCACGTCCCAAAGTCGTTGTTTCGGGCATTTCGAGCATAAAATCATCAAGTTGGTGACCAGCTTTAGTCAGTGTCAGAAGAAAGCAGAGATTCTTTCATCTGAACATATTGATTTAACTGCTTACTGAATGGTGCATTACAAAATGACTCATGCCTCCTCTACTTAAACTCAATGTCCACTGATAAAAACTTTCTTTGTATCAAACCTGAGACATAACTCAGGTTAGACGACTATCTGCAGCTGATAAAGCAGCAAAACCACACATATCACACACATGATATCGACGCTTTCTCTCAAACCACATCTTTTTAAACTGGCATATTCCGTCTGATCATTCTCTATCGGGTCTCATGAATCCTCTACACAATGATTTCCTACATCCTGTAAATTTGTCTTTTTAATGTTAATTTTTTAACGATGTATTACTACTTTGTTGTTTTTAAGGTGACCTTGAATGCTTTTAAAGGCGCCTTTAAATAAAATGTATTATTATTATTATTTAGCATGAGATAACGATACAGGCCAACGTTACGTCTCAATCTGTTCTGAATAATATCTGCAGGGATGAACACTCTGCAAAAATTTACCTTTTACAGAATATTAATCATATATATTTTTTTTTTAATGCATTAATGTGTTCCTCATTTTGTTGTCATTGCTACAGTTGGAGTTAATCCTATTTACATAACTGTAGATGGGTACCTTGTGAATTCACAGGGCATATATTAAAGATATTTTGACAAATAGTGTATTCATCCTATTTTGCATTATAAATCTGAATCTGAGAAGTAACTAGCAAACAAACTTAAGATTTTCTATGAATTCAGTGGAGTAGAAGTATATTTTTATTAGGTACAAGAAGGCTTCTTTAACATTTGGATATAACTTATGCAGTACTGTACTTAATAACTTTCACCCACTCAGTCGTTAAATGTAACAAAGTAAACTAGTGCTAGCTTGTTAAGCTAATATAAGATGTAAGAATTGTGTCATCACACGGTCCAGTTTAAAGGTGATTCATGTCGTGGTGCTCTGTGTGGGTAATGTGTTGTATCACGTGTTGTCGTGATGCGCATTCCTAACGGAGTGTGTCCGTTAGCGGAGCACTCGGTGACTGTCTGCTCTGCCTGTACGTAATAAAACTTCAACGGCAAACTCCGTCATGTTACGGATTGTTACTTCCCTGGTATTTTTTTTCATTGGTCTGGTAAATAAATTGCGCACCGGAGCTGATCGGATGTTCATTACCACAATAAAAGCCTCCTATACACAGAGTGGACTTCACGTAGCAGATAAAAGTTCTGACTGTAGCCTACATTGAAATGCCACACAGACACAAAACTACGCTTGTGTTACAGGATTCAGATAAATGCCTGACATTAAAAACAGCAGTTTGATCGACTTTTTTTGTCTGATTGACACTGACGAAAAATATTACAATTTTGAAATTGACGGAAATCCGTCAAAGTGACGGAGAACTTTAATCCCTGTATTTGGGTTCCGATCCACTTTAGGACTCTGCTGCACGCTGTGGAGTGATGTGTGATCCCTCTCAGTATCCAACATGGAGGATATGAAGTCTTACCATTCGTTCTGGAAGAGTGCATAAACCCTGGAGTCCTGCCAGCGCTCTGCGTGCACAGCAGCCACGTGGACCAGCTCAGAGAAGTGCTGCTTGCTGTCTGGATCTCCGCAGTAGAGCCTGGCGTTCATCTGCGACGTCCAGATATACTGCATGTGTTTCTTGGGACCGCCCCTGTCTGACTAAAGCAAGCCACAGCCACACTGTCAATCACTCCTGCACAATGACTGAGCACAGGTTACATATAGTGGAGTCCTTGTTTACAGCGGGTGTACTGTGTGCATTAATGGATGCTACTACAAAATGTTGATGCATCTCATTAAGACATGGACGTGGAGTTGGTCTGCTTCCTGTTGGACAGGCAGGTGACAAACACCTGTGTTAGCTTGCAGTGTAGCTACAAGCAGTAAACGTAAACACTACATCCTTCAGAGAGGGAGAGCTTCTGGGGTACAAAATTCTGGGAATTTTCAAAAGGTGGAAACTTTCCATGGGAATTTACAGGAATTTGTGGGAATAAACGGGAATAAACCAGGGATTTACAAAAATTGAAGATTGGCCCTTAACAGGTAACTTTAAGTCAAATTCCTTGTATGTGTAAATGTACTTGGCAATAAACCCAGATTCTGATTCTGATAAATCCTTACCATGCAAACCTGTGAGACGAAGGGGAGCCACATCCCGCTGTACAGGTCTGAGTCTCTGTTTTTCTCCTTATAAAAGGCAAAAACTTTATCCTGTGAAGGGTCTTCTGCCTGTCTGCTGATCACCAGACCCACATAGTGCTGCTCTGTGACACAGAGGAGACAGAAGTCAGGGACATGGGACCTTTTCAGCAAACTCCACAGACAGATAATTCAGCAGTAATACGACTTTGCAGCAGCTTTCACACCGAGGGAGACGTTCAAAGATCTTAACGACAAAGTGAAGAAACATGAGAATAAAACACAACAGGTTCTGCAAGATAAAGACGAAGAATCCAAACTCCAGAACAGGAATAAGAAGAGCAACACACACTGTAAGAGTCTGCATGTTTAAATCATAACTTTTCATGGGTCACAAAGTTTGCATCACTTACAGCTTCGATAAAGGAAGACCATAAAGTTCTTAAAACCCATCTATCATCATGCAAATACCTTTATTATGGTTCGCTGGTCCAACGCGGTTTGTTCCAAACTTGTGGACTCCAACATTCTCCTGAGATCCAGAGTAGGTCGTGTAAAGGTCGGCGTTTGTTTCTGATTCTGCGAAACAAAACAACCACAGATGACCACTTCTAAAAGGTTTCTTTCTTTTGAGCAGAAATGCGGATCATATTTCAGTGATAGCATTAAAAAAAGCTGCTTACTGAAATGGCAAAACCTGTGAGAGACAAAGAGTGTCTGTGCAGGCCGTGAAGAGAGGCTAAAGGTTCAGGGAGGAAGCGGCGCCATCACGAGCAATGGTAGAAAGAAGAAGAAGAAATCATTAGAGAACTGAACCAAGAGGGTTAGTAGAGCTTATAGAGACAGCAGCTTTCGCCTTCAAAATAAAATACAGACTTCTCCTTCAAAATAAAATACAGACTTCTCCTAAAGTGAAGCTGGCTGGTTCCTTCAAAATAAAATACAGACTTCTCCTTCAAAATAAAATACAGACTTCTCCTAAAGTGAAGCTGCTCCATTGTCCCTTCTGGGCCTCCGTACATGTGTGGTGGTGACTGTGTCTGCAGAGACTCTGTCCTCTCACTGGATTTTACTGTTCTGCTTTGTTCTGGTTGACTCGGGACGTTTGTGGGCGGAGCTGGTGTGTTTCCTCCAGCCAATGACAGCGCAGCAGGTGAGTTTAGGAGTGGATACAATTCAGTGATTGGACGAGGTTCAAAGCGGTGAATATGACGGACGAGGACGTAGCAGCAAAGAAGAGAAAATATAATGAGAGTGAGGAGAAACACCAAGTGGATAAAGATCGTTCTAAAACGAGGGTGAACCTTGTGTTGTCTTTTACCCGTGGACGTGGAGTTGATCTACTTCCTGTTGGACAGGAAGGTGATGAACACTGCAGTGTAGTGTTACAAGGTAGGTAGGTACAAGCAGTAAACGTACACACTACGTCCTGCAGGGAGGGAGAGCTTCTTGTGCGATGAGCCCAGGAGGAGGGGCCCAGTTTGAATGTCGTGTTTACAAGAAAACAAACATTTCTACTGACTCTACGTTTAAAAGAGCGTAAAAGTTCAGCAAATATGTTTCCTGGATGAAGAAAGGAAAAGTAACCACTGACGACAAACCAGTGAATCAGGAAGCAAAGACACACATGCAGGAAATAAAGTAATCTGTCAAAACTCACCCACAAAAACAGACGGTTCACCTTCCTTCATGATAAATTTTCTGATACTTCCTTGTATGCTCCTCATTTTTTCAGAGGTATCGCACTCGGGAGACGGAGCTGATAGAATCTACGAGAACACAAAGGAGACCTCTAAGAATCACTGCTGCACAAAGGAGAAGTGACGGCTCAGTGTAAACGATGGACGATAAGAAAAGAGACGTTAAGATGGAGTCGAGCACCAAAATACTCCAAGAAGATAAAACATACAGAGCGTCAAATATGAGAAATATAAAATATAGAGCGGGTTAACAACCAGGCCTCACAGAATCCAGTCCAAGGACTTTAACTGTTTTTAAGCCATCTACGTGAGCATGCACGTTCACAGACACATCATGTCAGTCTCCAGTCAGTGTGTTTTACAGTCTGCAGCGTCCTACCACGTCACAGCACAAAGTCTCCCTGCCGTTGGTCCCACACACATACGCCTGGTCGCCCTCTTCCCTCTTGTGCACCGCGGTGATGTTAAAGTCACAATCCTAGAACACAAGAGAGACTTCCATCAGATCTGACCGACACACCAAATGTTCTGCTGCCGTGTTGTTTTGATGCTCACTGTGGTCGACGTTTTGCTGATGATGCAATCTTTCCACAACAACGTTCTTTGCACAGGAGCCTGTGAGGGACAAAAAGCAGGAGAATCACTTTCTCACATCTATCTTTCATGGACAGGATCTCTATCTATCTGTGTGTGTGTGTTGGTTGTTGATGAAATTACACTACAGATATTTGACTGGTTGAGATCCTACAGCATGCACATCCCAATCGTTGAGTACTGAATATATCTACACAGGCAAAAGGATGCTCAGGGGTTGTATATATATGTGGAGGTGTGTCTCCTCTTGTTCATGTCTGGTGGAGGGCGAGGGGCCCCAAAGGTCACATGAGGTAACATGTTGTTTACCTGCAGAGGGTTTTTAAAGTTCAGTGAAATCAGGTGCTTTGGTCCGACAGCTGTGACGGTGTCTGGTTCTCCTCCTGGAAGAATCTGTACAGATGTTTGGTCTCCAGGTAAAAGTGTCCTCTTCATGGAGGGGTCTGCAAGTAGAAGAAAAACAGACTCATACAAAGCTGGATGTGTGATCGAAAAGGTGCACCAGCTTTGGTTTTAAAAAAAAAAAATGTAACTGATTATTTTACAGTTTTGAACCAAACATTTGGACACAGTTACAGGAAGTAACGTCCGAATTTCTCAGAAGTCTGAACACAAACTGAGAAAAAGAGTTCAAAGACTCCACAAACGTCTTTTCAGAATAAAACTCAGCATTTAACCGTCCTGTTGTGTTCGTTTGTCAGCGATAATGTTCCTGGGTCAGTTTGACCTGGTGCACGTTTACTCATCAAAAAGAGCCAAAAGATCCTAAAAAAATCGTTTGTACCTCGTTACTAAAATCATTACTAACAATGCAATCACTACTTAGAGCGAGGGCGATATGACCTCAAATCAACATTACGATTAAAGGCTTTATATGTGATTTTTCACACTTAAATATAATATAAATCAAGTATCTCCTCTGAAAATAACTCTGTGAGTCATGACTGTCTACAATGGGTGTAACACCCGAGTCCCACTGTCTGTGATGTTTTCAGAGTTTTCAGAGTCCTATCTTCACTTTGTTTACATCGCCCGGACGGCCGGCTGACTCCTCCCCTCGTGTATAAAAGTTGTTTAATTGAGGGACTAGAGAAAAGAAGAATAACATACTGTACTCACTGCTTAACTGTGTTTCTAGATCACGCTCATTTCAGGTAAATTTACATGCAGTGTGAAGATACCAGCATAATAAAGATCACTAGCATTAGCATGCTAACACAACAATGCAGCGCCAGTTGTTTTGGTTTCATGCTGGTGCTCAAGGGCGACATCTGCTGGATCAAAAAATCACATATGAAGACTTTAAATGAACATTTGACCTCGATTACCATTAATGAAGGATTATTTGTTTTAGTTTTTTTTCCCCTTATAGATCTCCGACATGATCTCTACTGTAAATATGATCAACTGTTAAAGCTGCATGTTTCTAATGAAAGAGAGAATATCTGATGTATGGAGGCTGTAGTCCTCCAAGCTGGCGGCCCAGGTTTGAATCTTCTCTCTCTCTATGATTTCTGACTCTATCCACTGTCCTCTCTCTCCATTAAAGGCACAAAAAGCCCAAAAATAAAATCTTAAAAAGACGATTTTGTGTTTTTTCAATTGAATATTTCAAACTGAAATCATCGCTTGAAATGAAAACAACAAATTTTAGTTTTTAAGTAGAAATGAACTTCTCTAAAACAGTAGAAAATCAATATCTTGCATTTCAAACAGTTTTTCAGCAGTGTTTAAATTTGATTAACAAAGGAAGAGAGACGAGTGTTGTGTTCAGAGTCATTAAAGGAAAGAGGACTCTAATCAAAATGTTAACAGAGTTAAACTGGATACCTCACGCCCTTCATTTCAACAAACTCCAGAGAAACACCTTGTAGGAAGATAAATGATTTTAACCCCTGTGATGAATTACTTTTGGTTAGAAAAGTACAAAAAAAATCATTTCCTAATCGTTTATTGACAAAGATAAAAGGTATTTTATGGGGCTGTCGTGAAAGGTGGATTCTTTCGTCTAAACATTTGTAATACTTCTTTTTGATGAATAACAGGAGGGTTAAAATCACATTTTCTCTTCTCTAAACCAAAACACAAAAATATTGCTGTATATGCTCATTCCTAACCGGGGGACCAGTAGGGGGGCTCTAAGATTTAAAAAAAAAGGGGGTTTGGGAACCTCTGTTACAGAGCATCAAATCAACACTGACCTGTCTCAGTAAAAACAAAAAGGTGTAACATCTTTATAATAATCATCAATTCTGCTTTGTTCTTCAATCAGGAGTCATCTTGTGAATAGAATAAAAGAATAAAAGGTGAACTTCGGTCTACTTCAGGAGTGACCTCTGTCAGAGTTATCGATCAGGACCAAGGGGCAACCTCCGGTCTCGAAAAATGAAGCCAATGCGGAAGTACAAAAAACTGCAGTTCCTCGAGGTTCCTCTTGAGGCTGGCTGCAGAAGCGCCGGAAGTGCCATAAGCCCACAGCCAAAAAAGCCCGTTTTTACCACAGGAATCAACATGTTTACAGCCTGGTTCAAAAAACGAGATGTATCTGAGAAGTTGACGGCCCCTTCTCCTCACACTGTGGGGGGGGTGAATTTTTTTATAACTCATCGGATTTTATTCTATTAAGGAAAACGACTATGCCCATATTTGGTTGTGTCAGATTTGATTGACAGCTCTGCGCGCTGCATCTGTCTGTCAGGTCAGCAGGTCAGGAGGTCAGCAGGTCAGGAGGTCAGGAGGTCAGCAGGTCAGGAGGTCAGCAGGTCAGGAGGTCAGGAGGTCAGGAGGTCAGCAGGTCAGCAGGTCAGGAGGTCAGCAGGTCAGGAGGTCAGCAGGTCAGGAGGTCAGGAGGTCAGGAGGTCAGGAGGCTAACAGCTTGATCCGTCTGATTTCTCCTCTTTCTTACTTCGTTTGGAGAGTTTGTTTAACACATATCTGACAACATACATGGCTTGCTGTGCGGTTAACAGACCATCCAACAAGTTGATGCTTCAGTTTTCTTCGGTAAGTGATATATTGTGTTATATTTACTGCTTACTCATGTGTTTATATTTACGGACCTAGCTTGTTTAGCGTTAGCTTGTAAACCAGTCGGCTAACTGTGTAGCTCATTATTTACAGTTAATGGTTTAGAAATGTTTGTTGTTAAGATGTTGTTGTTGAAAATAGTGAGTTTGTGTGATGTTAGAAGCTAAAGGTTCATCTCGGTGGTTATCTGATGTTATGATGAATGTTATTCTCCACCTAAATGTGAACATTAAAAAACAAACTTTGTGTAGTAATTATCCGTCAGTAACATAAACTGAACTGAACCTAATGTGCTGTGTAGGTTATAGAGGATGACATTAAAGTTACATGGTTGATGTAGTGTCTTAAGATTTGAGCAAACTGTTAACAAATTTTAAAAAAACTTCACTTTGTAAGAGCATCTGTAACCATTAAGAACTATATTAATAACCATATTAATTTTCACTGAACTCATACACAGAATATAGCTGTAGAAATATAAAATATAAATAACATATGGAATGAAAATAAGATTTAAAGCACATAGATATAAAGTATAAGAAATAGTTTGAAGACTACAGCCATGTACTGAGCTCATGTTAATAATAAATGAGTTACTGTATGTTCTGTACTAAAGCACAGAGAGTTGGGACCTGTTAATGATTTAAATAATTCAGGTTATATTTGTTTCATGTTAAGATGAAGTACTATCCACAATAAATTGCTTAATTTTTCCTCACCCAAAATCTGAGACCATTTGATGTGGAATATCATTGTGTGAGTGAGAGAGCTGAAAACAACATGACTACAATAATGTTTATCTTATTAACTTTGAATAGATGTTGATTATCTGAATACTGGACCTTTGTTGTCTGGGTAGTACACTGTTGAATTTATAAATGTGCTCTTACACACAGATGAATACAGAAAAATAGATGAGAACAAAAAAATGATTTAATGAATAACTGATATTTTCTCTCTTTCTTTGCCATCCTGAAGACCCCTCACTAAAAGTCCATGTTCTCCTGGATCCATGTCACATGCTCGAGCTTCTTCTGAATGACTTTTCAACAGTCGAAGTTCTGCTGAGAGAAGATGATCAGCAGATAGGACAGCAGTACATCAAGGAGCTCCACAGGCTTCAGGAGGAGGGTTTGCACCTTAGAAGACTGTATTCATGCTGTTCAAATAAAACTAGATCTCCTCCAAACAACTTGCAAACAACTTACTCTCCATGTATCTTGATTTAAGAATGGGGCTGTGTTTAAGGTCATCATTTTGCAATGACTCTGTTCCATCCCATTTTAAGAAATGAACTGCATTAGTATTTATCAAAAGAATAAGAAGTTGTGTAAAAGTAGACTTCCTTCCCTAAGCTATTGAGTTGAGCATTAATGCACATTTTAGTCTTGTCATTTCAAATCTGAAATGTATACACATAAGTAGACATAAAGGAGTGCATTTATATAGAAATATTTATTTAATCTGAAAAACAACATTAAAAAAAGTCTGTTTTTACAGCAGAGATGAACATGTTTACAGCTTGGTACAAAACAAACAAATAGATCTGATTAGCTCATGTCTGGATGGACACACACTGTACGGGGGGTGAATGTTTTGATGACTCATCAGTTTTGATTTGATGAAGGATAAGAGTTATTCCTCACAGCGAGCTGTTGAAGAGAAGCAACTGAAGTCCACCCCAGAAGAACCAACAAATACAGATGTTGTTGAGGCTCAGGTTTCTTCCTCTGTCTCTGCAGCTCTCTGGGCACCTCGATGGACCAGTCACCAATAATCCACACTGTGTCTATAGGAGAAATACAAAGGTGTTCAATTAATGCCTCAGACAAAATGTACAGTTAACTACATGTGACAGCTCAGGCTGTTTTTTTGTTATGAGCCACATCTGCAGGAATAATATTGAACAAGGTAGCTGCAACTCCTAATAATAGATGCCAGTCTTAAATACTATTTTTTCTAATACTTAAAGTTTTTGGTGTGAAGCTGACACTGTCCACAGACTCCATGACTTCACAGGGTTCAATAGAAAACAAATATCTTATAATAAATACTAAATAATTATTTTTCAATTGTCATGTTCACCTCATCACTGTTGACATCAGTAAATATAAAACACAGACATTCCTCTTTTTGTCAGAACAGTAACATGAACTGTATGCTTTGTAATATTGATTTCTTCTGGATGTCTCATATTTATTTACAGTTTATGGATAAAACTTTGTTAATGTATTTCTCTGCTAACACTGACAAAGTCTAACTGCTCTAACAAATAACTCATAAACATAATTGTATATTTAAAAAAGTGTAGTTTTAAGACTTTAATTAAATATTTGTGTTGAATATAATTCATTTTAACTGTGTTGTAGAAAAGTTAAATGTTAACTTACTGTTTGTAGAGTTTTCTCAGGACGAGCAGGAATAGTTGACGATAGCAGCCTAGCTGTTAGCGATGCTGTCAAGTGGACCGCTAACGTCGAGCTGAATGGGCGGAGTTAAGTCCCGCCGGTCCCGCCTTACTGCTGTTGTTAGGTTGATCCAAAGTTAGGTTGAGACTGCAAATCCAATATGGATGCGGCCGTCGATTGGACTCATTTTCTGCCTATGTCACAGACGGGTCAGGGTTCGTCCAGTAATATTTACAGTCTATGATCAGGACGGATTCAGAAGAGAGTGAAAAGTGAGACAACCGACCTGGTCTCCCTGAAGTCGCAGCTTCATCACACTGTCTCTCGTTTGACCGAAACTCGTCACCTCTAAAGGAATCATCTACACAAATGATTTGCAGATGTAGAAGAAGAAGTTAAGTATGTCCTACCTGTGTTTGAGAATCTCATCCTCGGTGCGTGCGCGGACATCGCCTCATTAAAACCCAAGAGACGAGAAATCAGTAAGAAGACGAATAAAGACGGTGGAGACATGTTTCAGTCTCTGTGTGTGTGTGTGAGTGTGTGTCTGCTCACTCGCTCCTCCCACCCACACACATGCGCACTGAGCCATTCACAGACAGACATACCCTGCTCGTATAACAATGTGTAGTTTCATATCTGCATAAGTAAAGCCCCAACACAACTATTTGTGTCTGTTATCGGTCTGCCTTGTTAAAGTGTCTCCTGTGCAGAGACAGTTTGTGCCCTGTTCATCATTTTACAGATAAACAAGGTCTTACAAGTTGAAGTTAAAACTTCTCTTGAACTGTTTTTACCGACTACACAAGGAAGTATCCTATTTCCTTATTATTGAAACCTTTAGGACAAGATGCTCCATGTTTGTTATTTGAGAACAGGATGCTCTTCTGATATAGACTAAAATAAGCACTTTATTCTTTAAAGACTTCTATTTACGAGTTTAATCTCAAGATTTTCAAAAAAAAAGTGAAGTGGCCCTAATCCTCCGTCCTACACTTCGTAATTATCTAATTATCAGTTATTTTGAATTTGGACTGCAGTAACAGTTTTAAACACTAGGTGTCAGAGTTACATATTGCTCCTTTCAAGTTTCTTATGCAGGAAAATGAAATTTGTAATGTGATAATAAGTCATGAATTTAGTTTGAAGCAAAATATTAATGTTTCAAAACAAACATCCCCAAACTTCACAAAAATAATAAGAAGTCATTCTACAAACTGATACAGACACATTTAAACATTTTCTTCTTCTACTTCTTCTTGTACTACTTCTAGAAAATAAATAAAATGTCTATTAAGACATCTATTAAGTCTGTTAAGACTGTAGGTATCCACTGAATGAAGCCGTAGCTTGACGCTCCTAGAACTCCTCTCTTAAGTAATTTTCATCCAAAAAATCCACAGGACCAAATGATCAAAGTTTAAATGTTTACTTAAACATAAATAAACAAAAAACAGATACAGGTAGTCCAAAACTATACAAAAAGAGAGATGAGGAGAGAGAGGTCAAAAGACTGTGTGGCTCCATTCTCTACTAGTCTGAACTGAGCCCAATTAAGTCCACAAGCCCCTCCCCCTCCCAGATCCAATGAACAAAAAGTATTACATGCATCCATAAATTTAACATGATGAGCAATAAGGCTCCTACAAAGACATTAAGACATTAAACACCCCATGTATCTGGAATGGAATGATCCTCGTGCCCGACTGACAGTCAACTGAGACTCTCCCCTAGTTTGTAAATTATACTAAGCAACCTTTATTTCTACGTGTCCATGCAGAGACGTCTGAGCGTACCACTGAACTCTGATTTATTGTAATGGTTTTAAGAGGAAGTCCGTACAGTTATAATTTTTTTCTTTCATCATTTTATTTTAATTTTGAATATTCAAAGTCAATTGATGTTTATTTATTTATTTATTTTTGTTGTGTTTTTTAATGAACTAACTTTCTGTTAGATGTTGGGAGAAACCTGAGCTCCAGGAGTAAACCCGACCCGACAAATAGGATGGACATGTGAAGGGGGTGTATTTATACGGGGAGTAAGGGGGTGGTGGGGGTGTAAGCTGGGGCGGTCCTTGTGATCTACTTCAGACCCTGCCCTTCTTTTTCTTCCCACGCTTCTTCTTGGACTTGGAGTCGATGATCTGCTGAGACTGGCGCTTCAGCTCTTCCCGCGAGAGGACATCGGGCTCGTCCTTCTCGCCCTTGTCTTCCTCCTCAGAGAGGTCGTCTTCAGTCTTGATGAAGGCGTTAGCCCGCAACCGCCCCTCGGCCTTGACGGAGAAGCCGACCTCTTCAATTTCTCTCTTGATAGCAGGCAGGTCTTTTCCCTGAAGCTTCTCGAGCAGAACATCCAGCTTCAGCTCCACTCGTCCAGCAGCTCCAGGAAATACTCATCGGATTCAGGACACACCGTAACCCTTCTGTCCTCTGGTAGTTTGATGTGTTTCAGTCTGTCAGCGAGTCTCTCCGACCACACTCGGATGAAAACAACGGTTTTATCAAGCTGACTGTGGCGCTCTTTGCTGGCGTCACACCAACGTTGCTGAGTCTGCAGACGCTGCTTGCACACGTCCAGCATCTGTTTGTCCGAGCAGAGCTTAGCCGCTGTTTTCTCCTTCATGTCCTGAAAGTTTTCATTGAGGATCTCCCTCTCTTCCTTCAGTTGCTGCAGCACCTTCTCATTCTCCTCCTTCTCATTCATCAGATGTTGCCGGCTGTCTTTCTGGGAGATTTTCTTCAAGTCCTGTAAGCTGCTTATTCCGGTGGCCTCCTTGATGCGCTGAAAGGCCTGGTTCAAAGTGGACCTGGCTCTCTCCTCCTCCTCTGCCATCATGGTGCTGCTGCGCTGGGCCTGGCTGCTCAGCTCTCTCTCTGCTTAGCTTCTCTCTGGGCATTTTTACTGATTTCTTCAGCCTGGGCCTGGAGCTCCTTGAGCTGTTTTCTCTTGCTGACTTTAGTACTCTCTGCCCTCGTGATCTTCTCATTGTAATATAACTCCAGCTGCTTTAACTCAGCCTTTGAAGCCTCATTGAAGTTCTCAGCGATGGTGACCCTGGACTGCAACTCTTCAAGCTCTTTTCTGTCCTTCTGTCTTTCTGCTTCCATTTGTTTCCTGCTGGCCGGGTAACCCAGAGCCTCCTCCTGCAGCTGAACGATGGCTCTGTCCTCGGAGGCTCCACGTTTCTCCGTCATATCGCACTCGGCTTCTATGCTGTACACGCACTTCTTCAGCTCGGACAGGTACTTGCAATCATCCTCTTGTTTCTGAGTTTGAACAGCAGCAGAGTGTGAACCTCCTCGCTCCTCGCCTTGGCACTTGTCGTTCTTAGTGCCATGATCGACGGCATTGATCCGTTTAAGAATGGACAGATTCCTCCGTTTTAAAGTGGTAAGGGCCTCCTCCACTGACATGTTGGAGAGCAGCCTCAACAAGTCGGGTCGGTCAGGAAAAGCTGCTTTGATCACATTAGCATCTTTGTTAGCTTCTGCAGTGTTTTGTTTCCTCAGCTGCTCGTTCTGCTGCTTCAGCTGGTCGATCGCCGCTTTCGTTTTGTTGACGCTGGCTTCAGTGCGATCCTTGATTGCGGCTCTTTCAGCCTCCACTAGTCGGAGCTCGATGCGCGCCTTCTCCAGTTGCTCCTTTAGCGGAGCTTTTCTCAAGTCCTTGGCAGACATTTCTGTATTGTTGTTGTTGTGAACAAAGAAAAATGCAGTTTAAAATGTACCTACACTTAGAGCTAGCTTGGCGTAATCAAACCTGTGTCCTGTCTGTCAGTATATCCTGTGCTTGGTCAGCTCAGATTAAAGACTCTTATGACATCACCGGCCTTTGATCTCTGACATTCATTCCTGTTTTTTTTTTTTTTTTTTACTTTATTTTGAAGAGAATGTTTACATTTGAAAAAACACATTGAACATTCTGAAACTTTATTTAAAGTGGCAGTAAGCAACATGAACACTCCAATGGAATGCAGCCGACTGTTGTCAACCTGCCTGCAAAACAAACATTCTCCTCACAGGGTCACTGTGATTGGCTAGTAAGGTGCAAGCTAAGCCCTGATTGGATGCTTGATTCAGACCTGCAATGTGTTTAAAAATGATCGACATTGAAGCAGGCCGCAGACAGACATCTGTTCAATTAACATTTTCATTTATTACTTGCAACATCTGACACCTAGTGTTTAAAATGTGTACTGCAGTCCAGATTGAAAACATTGTAGAGAGCTGTCTCCCCCCCCC